AGTTGTTCATGCTCAGTGATTCTACTATTGAGAGAAGTAAAAAAAAAAAAAGAAAACCAGAAAGAAAATACATGTAACAAAATATTTGTGGTGGCATCTTTTGTAGTAGCAAAAATAAAACAAAATAAACACAGAGGCAACTGGGTACCTATTAATTGGCTGCTTGTTGAATAAATTGTAGTATATGAACTTAATTGAATATTAATATATCACAAGAAACAAAGATTATGAAGAATTCAGAAAATCATGGGAAGCCTTATATAAATCGATGCAAAGTCAGCAGAACCAGAAGAAAAAAATACACATTATCACTACAATAGTAGAAAACCAAAAACAGCCTAAAAGGTAGCCAAACTCTTCTTAACTGCAGTGACAAATCTATATCCTGGAAACTAGATGATAAAATGTCTCCTTCCTCTCATGAGAGAGATGGGAGACAGGTTATGTGAGATATGATAATTATGTCTACTGGTTTTATTTAAATGTTTTCCTTTGTTGTGAGGGACAGCTCAATGGAGAGGGAAGTTTAAGCAAAAATGAATGGTGTAAAAATAAATAGCAACAATAAATCAATTTTTTTTAAAATACAGGAGTGCTAAAGCTTCAAGTAAATGTAAGCAGCAGATGAAACTGGCAGGCAGGACAGTTTGAGTTTTCAGTCATCCTTTGAGTCAGAGGAATGCCTGGCCAACTTGTTCTTCTTGCCCTCTTGGGGGTATAGGGTATGTATGGCTTTCTTTTCAAACCCTTGTATGTACAAAATGGCATTTGCCAGAGAGAAGTGAAAGTAGGAAATGCCTTTACAACCTAGGGTACCCCCTGGGTCATTATTTTTATTTCTAAGGTTATCTGAGTTTTAGATTCTTTGATAGTCCTCTAGTGGTCCAATGATGATCCCTCCTTTTATACCTGTAAAATATGACTCCCCAAACCCCATTCTTTGTCAATTAGGTAAGATTTCTCTCCCCTTTGGAAATGAAAATCTGCCCTTCACCCCTCTTTAGCTGTACGCATTAACAAAGCTCACAGCTGTTGACACTTAAGAAAAACACATTTGCTGCCTTAAAAAGCAAAATAAACATTAAAAATAAAGTTTAACACCTTTTCTAAACCCACAGAGAAGCAGGGAAGGGATTTAAAAACATGAGTAAATCAGCTATAATTCATTCTACCTTTTCCAGAGAGAGGGAGAGAGGGTCATAGTGGCAAAAGCTAGATCAGTACTGTAATTACCTGGTAGGACAGAGTTCCTGCTCTCATTATTCCTCACCACCACAGCTCAGGACTCATCACGCCTGCCATTAGCCTTCCACAGCTCACAGCTGTGTTTCTGTTTCCTCTTTCTGTCTGTCTGCCTGTCTGTTTGGCTCACTCTGACATCTGAGTCTCCTACCTATACATATACTTCCAAGGTCAGAATCAACAGCACTCTGGACAGTCTTCCCCCAGGTCAAGTTTAATGTTCCCTTGGAACTTAGAGTACACTGAGAGGGAAAAGATTTTTTGTCAGTAGATAGTCCTCTATCTCTCTTTATTCTGTGGCTAAGCCTTTTGGCAAGGCCCACACACTGGATTTCAGGAACAGAAGAAAATGCGCAGAACTGGCAAGGTGAGCAAGCTGAACTATATGACCAACTAAGCGAAGAAAAATATTAAAAATTTTGATATTACTTCAAGAACACAAATAAAGTTGGCCATTAAAGGGAGTCAATCAGAGGAGCTGATTAAATAGTATATATTATAGATGTGACTAGTCATGGAAACAGGGGTAAATGCAAAATAATGTTTAAATCTTGCAAAAATGTCTGTATTGCTTTATGTCAGAGTGAAAACTCCCTGAGGGTAGGAACTTTAACAAATATAATCCATTGAAAACTAGACATCATTTCAAGTACAGGAGTTCAGAATAAACATTGAGTCCAGCTGTCCTGTATAAAAGTGACTCAAGGATTATCCTAACATCAACTTGGGACAATGACTTCTATTATGTTTCTGGGAGCTTTCTGTCCCTTTCTTCAAAATCAAAGTCAATGGAATTATCATTTATTTATCAGTTAGTAGGAGACTACTCAGAAATGGACTATTCACTTCTGGTCAAATTTGTCATCATTTCCTGAAACTATATTTCTTTATGAATTTCGGGAAGCTTTTCCCTTTCACTTATCCTTCAGCATACACTGACACTGGGCCTAGAAGCCTCTCATGATTTTGATGGGCTTATATCTTTTTCTATTGTTTTTAGTTTCACATTCCTTGTACATCAAAACTTGATGTGTGTATTTTTCTATTTCCTGTGATAGTCTGGCTTCATGAAGTTCCCAACTTCTAGAGAATGACAGTTTCTTTAAAACTACCACTCTCTATGGCATATTCATCCTACAAAAGAGTGACATTTAGTTCCCCCAAAACGAAACTGAAAATATAATTTTAGGGACTTTCTGACTTGAAGTCAGAAAACTTCTGTTCAAGTCTTAGCTCTGAAATTTACTGTGAGTTCTCAAGAAGGATTTTTCAACTGCCCAGAGATCATTTCCTCTAAAATGGGGATAATCATATTTATACTACTAATCTCTAAGAGTGAGTGTATCAAGTGGGTTCATGCATCTTAAGTACATTGTAAACCATTAAGGTATCATATAAATGCCAGCTGTTACTATCTGATGAATTGTACAGTGACTTGATTAATGGTCTGTGAATCTGAAGGAAGGAGAGCACCTCTGGAAGTAGTAAAAAGACTCAATGGAGGAGGCATTTTTAAATCGGTCTCTCTCATTGAGTAGCATTTAAACTTAGGGAGTTGGCCTTGGGGTGAAAACATTTTAGGCAGAAGGACAAGCATGTGCAAAGGAAGGGAAATGAAAATATGTGTTTTCTGATCCTACTGGATGGGAGGGTGCAAATAGAAGTAGGAAAAGATGAGACTAAAAAGGTAGTGTTGTGGTCAATTATAGGTGACATCAAATGACAGATTAATTAATTTTATTTGGCCAGAGTTGGGGAGCCATTGAAGGTTTTGAGCAATGCTTAGAATGGTGCTTTAGGAAGATCACCTTGGGGAATTATGAGTGGGGAGAGAGACTGTAGTTAGAAAAATTAGGCTATTGCAATAGTAGGAAAATGAGATGATTAGGGTCTGCACTAGTGGAATGGCAATGAAAATAGAAAGGAAGCGATACATGTGACAGAAATGACTGATTAGAGCTGGTGGTAAAGGAGAAGGGGACAACAAAAAACTGGTGTTTTGAATTTAAGTACTGGAAGAAATGTGGTTGTGTTAGCAGAAATAGGGGACTAAGGAAGAAAAGTTGAAGTGGGGGGGGGATTGACTTTTAACAAATTGAGTTTAAAGTACCAGTGGGACATCAAGCAACAGTTGGAAAATTGATACTAAAACATTTTAAAAGCTTCACTGAAGCACAGGACTGTACTTGAGTAGCACCTTTTCTGGGCTGACTCCCAAATTTCACTTCACTGGAAGACCGAGTCCCATGAAGGTGGCTTACTACTACTCCTACTTACCTTGTGTAAGGGTGACCGTGCCTGGGTAGAGTTTATAGTACTGGCATCCACAAGCCCCCATGCAATGTATGTCCCTTTATCAATTACCCAGTAGAACTCTACTAGGTTTTAGAAAAGGGATTTTATTGAGAAGGTATAGCTAGCAGATACAAAGCCAATTGATTCCTTCCCTATTTCTTATACTAGGGAGCACTCTCTCTGTATATGAGATCCCTTGGATAGTAAGAGCAGATATAAAGTACAATGGCAATGAGGCATATGTGTATAGAACACATAGGTTAAAGGGCATCTTCAGACTCCAGGTCTCAAAAGTCTTTTTCCCCCCCTTACATGGAGTTTTCATGATATTCCTTTACTTTAGGTATAGATCTCAGATGGGCTTGGAGATACATGCTTTCTTAGAGTCCATAGTCAATATTTCTTTCCATTACAAAGGGTCACAAACTCTGAAGCTAATGTTGTCTTTCTACATTCATATTCAGGTGCTTTCTCTGATGTTGGCAACTACTGCGTTAGTGGGCTCTGCTACCAACTTTTGTTACCACCAGTGCCTCTGATGGCTTTGATGTATCTCCCAGTATTTTAGGCGTTCTCTTCTTTGAGTACTCACTCATTATAGACCCAGAAAGAGTAAACACAATAAAAAATAGAGGCAGTATGTACACAAAGGCAATTAGTGACCAGGCAGGACGAGAGTTACTATCATATATTCTACCAAGCAACTCATAGAAAGGCTGCTTTTCTTGTCTCCAGGAAGGAAAAGAATCTAAAGGGACCAATAGAAGGACAAATAACTCCTTATATATGTACACTTAATTCTGGCTCAGAAGCTCAGTAGTGAATAGCCATTCTTGCTTCTAAACTCACCAAATGACCCTTTATCACAATATCAGCCCTCAAGTTACTCATGGCACACCAAGCCTTCGTGTACTACATTGGAACCAGGAAGGGAAAATCTAAGTGTAGGTACATATCAGCTAATCCTTCCATTATATTAGAATCACAGAATGCGATCCAGAAGTAGTAGGGACATTAGATATCATTTAGTACGACCTTCTCATATCCTCTGAGGCTCAGAGGGTAGGAAGTGACTTGTCCATGGTCATACAGCAATTAATGAAGCCAGGACAGATTTTATTACTCGGTCCAGTACAGTTCTATTATAACACACTAAATGGTAGATACATCAGGAAGGGACCTCAGGCAGCATTTAGGTCTATCCCTAGGCTTTACAAGTGGAAAAAACTGAAATTTGAAAAAGTTAAGTGAATTGCCTAAAGTCACTGAGCTACTTGATAGGAATGTTCCTACTAGAACTCTCGTCTTCATCTCCCCAGTCAGTGTTCTTCCCATTACACAATATTGCTTCTACGATATCTGTACCTACCCATTCATATATCTAGCTGTTCATCCATCCATCTATCTATTCATCTGTCTGTAAACGTACACATCCATATTTATATCTAGAGTGACATACATACACGTATACATGTTGTTTTCCGCACTCTTCCTGTTCACGCTAGCAGATGTTGTAGGAGATCTGGGGAAGCAGAGAACACAACTTCAGTTTTCCCTAGTATTGTAGTTCATTGAACTGAGACAAAACCTTAAATTTGGTTGATGAACCCGAGTCTGAAGTTTTCAAATTACAGCTTTGCAATTCCATAGCTCAGAGACAAATTATCAAACACAAATCATTCAAAAACAATCAGTGTTGTCCAAAGGAACTCTTGGAAACAGATAGTTCATTTGAGGTTTGCAATTGACCTTTATGCTTTTCTAATTGCATTTGCTCTGAAGAATATGCTCAGTACTGAAAATCATCCTCTGCTGTTTTCTCATAATGAGAAACAAAGAGCAAATATGGACATGACATGAAATATCATCAGAATACCAGATGTTGGCAAAAACAATGACCAGATTTTGTAAGCACAGTTGCATAGCATTAGTACCCTGAGGAAGTCATCTCTTAATCTATTTTCTTTAAGGAATTTCACAAGGATATCAATGGGAGACACCATTTTAAAATAGTGTATCAAAAGCTAGCAGCAAATTTGAATAACAAAATTTTAAAGATAAAAATTAGGTTTTTTAAAGTTGTTAATAGGTATTCCTTTTTAAAAATAAAATCTTAGTTGACTTTTAAAAAACATTTTCTGAACAGCTGTCTCTTGAATTAAATTTAAGATGCAAGAGACATAGAATTATAAAAACAATACGCTTTTCAATAGAAGTGGAAGAATGAGTAGTGGATCTGTTTGAAAATATCTGCACAATTTTTATTCTGTTTTCTGGGGTATTTGAGTACATCATTAGAAAGGTGAAAACACAGAATATTAGAATGGAAGGAATTCTGTTTTGTCTTGTTTTATAGTTGAGGAAACTGAGACCCATAGAAGTGAAATGACTTGGCCAAGGTCACACAACTGGTTATTGTAGAACTAGAACTAGAGCTCAAATCTCTTTATTCTCTTTTCAGCACTCTCCACTAAAACAGTCTTTTAGACTTAGGAAAGACAACACACTTTAGAAAGCCTATCTGTGTCTCATATAGTCAGAGATAACCTGAAGTCCTTATGCTTGTTGGTGTGTGACTATCAGATGACAGACAGTGATTTTGTCATGATTTTAGGACAGTATAAAGTAATCATCATGACCTCTCTTGTCCCAAAATGATTATGTGCTACTAGTCAAACCAACCACTGTAGATTTATATGGCTACTACATATTTCCCTCTGATCTTACATAAGATACATTTATATTTCCTCTTACTATTTCGACTAATTATGAGGTAAATGTGTCACCCATGGCTTGCTCTTTTTACTGTAGTGGTCAGTGACTGACTGACAGCTTTGTTTTAGCTTTTGCTTTCATCTTTGGCTCCAAGAGTCTCTGCCAATGGTGTCAGAGGAAGCAGATCCCTCACCGCTTATCCTTGGAACTCTTGAAATGACACTTTGGCACTAGTTTCCTTTGAATTCTCAGGGCTGGGGGAGGCAATCACAACACAGTCTCATTACAACCACAGATAACTGAAAACCAATATTGCCTTCCCAAGGATTTTAGGACTCTGGCAAGAAAATGGAAAGTTGGAAGGGGGTAGTTTAAGACTATCAATGTCTGCTGCAGCTTGAATATCAGCTTTGCTTGGCTCTAAAGAAGGGCTAGGTCAAATCCATTGGTAATATGTCATCCTTTCATTTCAGTGCAATATACTCTAAGTTCCACAGAGAATGGTTGGATTGAAAAAAAGAAGAAAGCAGCAAAGAAATGGATGAAATGTCTAGATCATTCCTCCTATAGTCTGCTGTTTTTGAAGGGGGCAGAAAAACTTTTTGAACTTTAATTAACTCGGCCTAACACTATCTATCAAGTAAATCAGGCCTGCATGCAATCTGAACAGGAAAAACAGCTTAGAAAAATGAACGTCATTCTGATAAGTGGTAGGCATCTGGCTGCATACTAAGCAGATGACCAGATATTAAACCCAGGACACTACATTTCACAGTGATTTGATCCCTTTCTCTTGAAGAGAGAGATAGAAAGTGATACTTACATGGAGAAGGGTGAGAGTGGTAGTGGGGGGAGCAAATACATGGGCAAGAAGAAAGGGAAAGAGTGAGAAAGGAATTCTAGATGCATTTGAAGAGTTCATCTATTGCTATGGCAACAGTCTCTTCCTAGCAACAACTTGCTACCATGCTGACATGCAGAGCTTAGGCCTTCAGACAAAAGGAAAGAAACCATAATGAAATCTTCCATTTTCACGTAATTTATATATTTTTGAGTTTGAAACAGGTGATGGGAAATTCACATTAAGATGTCAAGACAATAAAAAGCTACTCTCTTTACTCATCAGTTACAAAATAATCATCAAATGTGAATATACATTTGAATAACTGATGAAAACCAATTGCAGAATTTTAAAAATATTACTGAGATGTCCAACTTTTTTGAACATTGTTATTGATTCAAAAAGCTAATGCTTTTTTCAATTATTTTGTTATCAGTACTTAAAATAACATCAATATATTATTCATAACATCTACCTGCAAAGGCAGTCTATGGTTTCTATCCATTTACTTGTGGAAGTGAAGAATTGGAATAACTATTTGGATATCTTTCAGGTTTTATCTGGACTTTTAAGGCAATAGCGAATATCATAACGGCCTCAGTTTTTATATGCATGATAACACACACCTAAAATCAAATCAGCCACAAAATTAGGAAACTCCTAGTTAACTTTATGCTGTGTAAAGGCAATAGTTGGCCTTTATAGAACATTTTAGAGCACTCTCTGAACAGCATTCCATTTGATCCTCACAACTCTGTGAGTTAAAATATTATCTCAAATCTACAGATGAGAAAAAGTTTCAGAAATGTTAAGTGACTTGCCTAAAGTTTCTGAGATAGCAACTCATTGAACCAGGATTTAGACTTTTACCTGGGTCTTTCCACTATACCATGCTGCCTCTGTGAGCAGAATTATTTTCACCTGGGAACAAATGATGGTAAGAGCATGTAGGCTACTGAAAAAGATGTGAGGACGTGAAAAATAAAATCGAGGAATCGTACGTGGAGAGCTCTCCCTCCTTCATTCCTTCACTCTTGGATTCCCTGGTGCTCCTTACATATTAGGCACATGAGAATCTTCATAATCATCCCAACTGTTCATATTCTGCTCTCCCTATCTATTATTTTATATATGTAGTTTTCATCGACTCATTTGGGTTCATATTGCTCCCTCTCTCACCTCCATAGAATATGAGCCGTTTGAGGTCAAGGACTGTTTTATTTTTTATTTTTTATCTTTTATACCTAGCAGTATCTTGCATAATTCAATAAATTATGATTGAATGAAGTTTAATTGAATTATATTCCCAGGGACTATTTCTAGATTCAAGTGGAAAGTTCTTTAGTACCCTGGATGTATATGCAGTGAAAAGAAGGACGTGCATTTTGAAGTTCTCAAATCTAAAATAAACTCAATATGTTCCATTTATTTTTAGTCATTTTTCAGTTGTATGCGACTCTTTGTGACCCCATTTTTGGGGTTTTCTTGGCAAATATACTGGAGTAGTTTGGCATTTCCTTATCTAGCTCATTTTACAGATGAGGCAAAAGGGTTGAGTAATTTGCCCACGATCACACAGCTAATAAGTATCTGAGGCCAGATCTAAGCTCAGGTCTTCCTGACTACAGGCCCAGCACTCTATCCACTGCACCACCTGCCACAATATATTCTGTACAGTACAAATAAGCCATTAATTCTCTTGAAAATTCCCGAACTCTGTTTTCATGGAAATAGAATATCCTGTCCATAGGATATCCTATTAATATCCTATCAATTAAGATCCTATGCTATTAATATTATTTTGTTTTTAAAAATCACCATGAATCAGCTACTTTTTATTCCAATAGTGCTCTTATCTATCAAGACACAAGCCTGCAAGCATGAAAATGTTGATCTCAGAATTCCATTAAGATTTTAATCATATAGCAAAGCATTCCACTGGGATTAATCAGTTGGTAAAACAGACACATGAAAAGAGGAAGAAAAGATACTTTCAGCCTAGAAAGTGACAAGATAGATAAATCTTTGAGAGCTTGCCATTAAATTAGACGCATAGTTTAAAATCTTTTTTTTTTTTGAGGGTGGAAGAACTGGAGTCATGAACCATTCAGAATATTTGGGGTTTAGGTCAGCAGGGGGCCAATATTTCTGAACTGTATTGCACTGTCGGCTTATATATTTTCTTCATTGTTTCCAATTTAAAGGAGTTGGAGAGGACGTTAAAGAGAAAGGGGATTTTGTCTAAGAAAAAGTAACCTCAGTATGAAATAGTATTGGAAACAAAACAAAATACAGAACATTAAGTACTTTCATATACATCTAAGAATATGGAGAAGAAAATGATCTTTGATCATTTAGTTTAGCTCCATTATATTACAGGTGAAGAAACTGAGATCCAGAGAAGTCATACACCTGGTTGCAGTGGATGATCTAGGATTAGAGAAAAGGTTTTCTAACTCCTGGTCCAGTGCTCTTTCCACTTTAGATTGGAGTTTGTAGATACTAGATACTACAGGCTTCACGAGAAGTACCTCTTAATAGGGTTCTTTATTTTCATGGACCAACATGCATCAGCTGTAGTTAAATTTTTCATGTGAGCTCACCTTAGAAGTCTAGTTCACCACGGAGATAGTTGTTAAGGTAAGAGGCTGTCACCCAGAAGCATATGTAGAATTCACTCCCTGGCAAACTTATGATACTATAACATGACAATAAACATGATAATATAATATGACAATAAAGCAATCAGAAATCATTTATTACATATTTATTATATGCTGGACACTGTGCTAAGATTTAGGGATTCTAAGAAAGGCAGAAACTATTTTCTATGAGCTTTTATTTTAATAGAGAACATAGTTGCAAGAGGCAGAATTGCATAATGGATAAAGAACTGGCCTTGGTGGCAGGAAGATCTAGGTTTGAATCATTTAATATATACTGTGTGACCCTGGGCAAATCATTTAACTTCTCAGGGTACCAGAAAGTCTTTTATAAGCATGTGCTAATCTGCATTGGTAGGAGTTTTCTCACTGAGTCCTCTCTATCAATGAAATCAAAGATTAGTTAAAAAAAAAAAAGACCAGGCAAAATAAATAAGCACTAATCTAGAAATCTGGAAATTCTGGAGGATTTCTTTCATATTAACTCATTCTGAAGCCCTCAGGGAAGAGGCTTGCTGACTTGTTTCTATGGTAGAAGATTCTGGTGGGAAAGTTGGTTTAAAATAATTCACACATAACATAACCAGTTTCAAGTTTCCTTCAAGTTTCTACGGATGGATTTTGTCATCTCTTCTGCTACTTCCACGCTGTCATACCCAGGCTAAAAGTCAAGGATCAAGACAATCTTTTTGTTCCTGTTCTTGTTGATTTTTATTTTAAAAATCTCTTCCCGTATCATAGTATAATAAAAAAGATGATTGCCCATGAAACTGCAAATTTATTATGTACAACTTGTTATTCCTTTCAAATATACAATAAAGTTATCATATAAGTTTCTTTTTCTCCCCTTTTTCTTCCCTCCCTTTCCCCCTCAAGGCATTCTTAGAAAGAAGAGGAAGAAAGAATTACTCATTCTTTGGAGGGGTGGGATATTTGAGCTCTATAAATAGGCAACCCCTATTGCTCAGGACTTTCATTGCTGAACATTTTTGTTTCCTACATGGTCCACTCAATTTTATATAGTGCATACCTCAGAGACTCAGTTTCAAAGATCATGTAGAATGAAATCCCAACATGGTTATGGTCACAAAGGAAGAATCAGCCTTTTAGGAAAATTAGGAATCCCTTTCCCACAAATTTCCTGGCCTACATGTAAAAGCATCAGAGAATCCAATCATCCTTTGAGTTAAGGCATTTGTGTTTTTGTTATAATCTAAACATTATCTTGAATGAGCAGCATATTAAGAAATTAGTCACTAAGACCTGATATCAGATATCAGATTATCTGGCTAGTCACCTATAAAAGCTTTGGGGAAATAAAGTTTAAGTCAGATAAAATTTGTAGGAGAAAAGGAAAGAAAATAAGATTTGCAGTTCTATTGCTTTTTGCACATCTAACTTATAATTGAATAATAGCAGGAAAATGCTTTTATGATATTTAAGTACATTAAAAAAAAATCTTTGATCATGTAATGAAAGACACCTCAACCCTCATTCCTCAAACTTCCTGGTTCTTAGTTTTCTGGTTCATTGTGTTAGTATGGGAACATGGTATCCTGGTGCAGATAGAAGGTGGTGGAGACCAGAACCAAGAGAAAGAATGAGGTTGTAGCAAAATGGGATACACCAAGGCAAGATCAAAGAGGAATGCAGCCCTGTGGGCTATATCTCCCTTATCTTGCTTTTCTATCATTGATGTTTTGGACTAAGAGTAGAAGTTTATATTTATCACTATTAAGTATTGTGTTAATAATTACATCATATTTATATTGCATTTTAATGTAGGCAAAGCTCTTTCTCCACAACAACTTTGTGTTCAAATAGTATCTAAAAAATGAGAGGATTGACCTAGAGGGTCTTGAAGGTCACTTTCAGTTTTAAATCCACTCTCCTAAATGTCCTCTGTTAATCTCACTTATATTGGATTCAATTTCATCTTAACTATTTTCACCTACATATGCTAATCCAAATGTTATTGTCCTTGTAGAGAAATCAAAAGAGGCAATAGTGGTTTTGAGTAATGACACATATTTACATAAAACTTTATGCCTTATCAAGTGATCTCCTGAGATCCACTTGAGGAGGTAGGTAGTACAGTTGTTATAGACATTTTGTAGATTAAGAAATTGAGGCTCAGAAAGGTTAAATGATTTGTCTTTGACTCAAATAGATAGCAAAATTTATCATTGTCTCTTCTAGTCCAAGCACTGGTCTTAGCCTTTATTTATCTTTGTCTTTCTCCCAAAATAGCTGTAAATAAATAGAAAAAAAACTTTTCTGATTTTTTCCCTTTATTTTAGTCATTAACCTTTATTGAAAGGTCCATCTTGTTTTAAGCTTTAGTATTCCTGATAGCAGTCTTGCATGTCTATGCCACTGTTTTGTAAGTAGACTGTATTGTCTATTGTCTTTGTCTTCTGCACATTTATTTTGAAAATCTGAGATGGTTTATGAGTTTGCTGGACAGCCTCATTTTAAAAATCATCTTCCTCTCTGAAATTATATAGTTTTTGGATCATTAACATTTGTTCTTGAAAACATTCCATTGACTTTTAGCCAAGATGGTTGCCTTAATGTAATGCGGTAGGAAGAGAAAGGGGAGGCAGACTGCCCGCTTTCCACATATCTGCTCCAATAAAAACCTGAGATTGATGCCAGACCAAATAATGCTCGAGGAATCCAATGAGAAACCACAAGTGATTTCTTCCATTTCAGAACAGCACAAAAATGCCAGACAGAAGCCCACAGATAACAGAAAAGACAACCTCTAGCAAAGCCAACATTAACAAAGGCAAATAAGTTCACAGTCTTCCAATGCATTGGAACATAGACATGTAGTCTGTAAGACTTTCTGTTTAAAGGTAGAGAGTGAAAGGTGCCATAAGAAAGCTCCAGGGAAATTGGTCCCCACAATAGGGACAATAGAAGCCTCAGAAAGTGACAGCTCACTCTAAAAGGATCTAACTCTGAAAGTTGCAGGTCAGTACAGAAAACCAGATAATCCAAGGTAAAACCAAACAGGGCTGAACACCCTACCCAAAAGTGCAACAGGAAACAGAGCTTGGTTCTGGCACAAAATTCCAATTCAAGAACTAAAGTTGAAGAGGTGAGTGAATCAAAGAAAAGACTGACTAATAATAACGCTGCAGATAAATTATTGTAGATAAAAATACTATTCCCAAATAAGGAGGAAATAGCTAAGTTAACAACAGAAAGCAGAGACTAAAAGAAAAAAAATGGATTTTCCCTAAGATTAAAAGAATAACTGGAAGAAGTGAAATAGTAGAGGGAAAAAAGCTGCAGAGGAAAGAAGTGAACGGAGAATAAATCATTTATAAGAAAAAGTGATAAACCTTACATAAATGAAAAACTCCCTAAAAACTAGAATAGACCAAAGAGAAATCAAGGACTCTATGACATAGCAAGAAATATTAGAACAAAATCAAAAGATTGAAACTGTAGAAGAAAATGTAAGATACCTGATACAAAAAACAATTGACCTGGAAAACAGGTAGAATTCTCTAAAAAACATGATTTCAAAAAAATCTAAGACATTATATTTGAAGATATCAGAAATGAAGCCTGTCCAGGTGGCAAAGCAAAAATAGAAAGAATCTACCAACATTCTCCAAAGAAACTTCAAAAGAAAAAGACCCAGGAATGTCATAGCCAAAGTCCAGAATGAGCACTAGGAAGGATGAGTTGAAGAATGAAGAAACCATAATCAAATTGCTCTGGAACTGCTTCTACTATGAATGAGTGGAGATTTTGGAAAATAATAATCCCAAAATCAAAAGAGATAGATTTCCAACCTAGAATAATTTATCTTGAAAAACTAAGAGTAATACTATCAATAAAACAATGGTCTTTTATAACCAGGGGTACACATTTATTTGTACAAGACTCTCCTCATTGGTGGGTAATTGGTCAGTGCTCTACAACTTCATGGAGGATAGAGTTAGTGAAATCTTGGGATAAAAGAGATCTTGTCTTCAGGTTTCTACCTTTGAGAGGAAAACACACAGTTCTAGATTGTCTTCAGGGAAAGGTCCGAGAAGGTAAAGAAAGTCTCTGGAAAGCAGCTGACCTGTAGAGGAAGCAGCCCATTGATCATGTTAATTTCTTCCCAGTGTTCTTCTCTTTAGAGACCTCTCCCTGAAGACAATCTGTAACATGTGCCTTCTCTCTTGAAGCTTGAAGCCACAAGATAGAATTTCTCTTTTACCAAAATCTCACCAACTCTTTGTCTTTCTCATACAAACATGGAGCTCTGAGCAAGCAATCTCCACAAAAGAGGTGAGTGTTATTCAACTGGGCCTGAGCTTCTGGTTACAAATAAAATAGAAGAAGAGTTCCATGTATTTCTGATGACAATTTGAGTAGGAACTTTAGAGTTCCTATTGAAGAAGAAACTTAATGTCTTCAAAAGGTTATTGAAGGAATTAAATATGAAAAAAGAGGACCTGGGGGAAGTAGAATTATTTTTTCTGAGAGCTTTAAGAAGTCAAAGAGAAGGGATGGTGAAAGGAGGAATACAATAGTATAGAAAGGAAGAAGAGGATAGAATTTGCTTTTTCTCATAATTGGGCTACATGAGTATTCAAATATGGGGGAAAGGGTAGTGGTAATGGACTTCAGATAAACCTCATTCACTCCGATAAGAAGTAGACAAATGAGAATTGAATGGAAACACATAGAGTTTGGTGTAGAAATACATCAAACTGAAAAGGAAAACAAATGAAGATAGAGAGAAGAGAGGTTAAGAGGGAGGATAATAATGGGGATGATATGGTATAAAAAATAAAAAAAAATTCCTGATCCTGAAGAGGAAATTAAAAGAGGGGGGAAAAGAGACAAGGACTAGAATCTAAGGAAGTGGCTAAGATTGACTCTTACACAACTAGGGAATGACTCAACAAATTGTGGTATGTGAATGTAATAAAATAACATTTGGCAGTTAGAAATATGGAAGAGAATATTTCAGAGAAAACTGAGTAGTACATTGCGTGAAGTAAGCAGATGCAGGAAAACAATT